TTTGAGAGGCCCCTTGAATAAAAACATGCAAATTTCAGCAGAAAATGGCGCAGTCGAAGAACGAAAATAAAATAAATAAAGAAATAGATAACTAATTTTACATAAAAGTCATAAATAAACTAGATGCAGGCTCACATATTGCAAATGTTTAATGGAATTGCTTTAAATTTTGTAAGAACCACAGCATCTAATTTTGCACAGTATTTTTCAAAAACATCCGCCCCTCATAGAAAGCTTAACTGCGAAAAAATCTTACTTTAGCACGCTGCGATAGGGTGCACGGTGCACGGTGCATAGTACACAATGCATAGTGCATGGTGCACAGTGCACAGTGCATGGTGCAGCGGGGTGTTAAAAGCTTTTTAATGCCAATGGAAATGAGAGACTCTCGTCTTAAATCCCCCCAAGATAACATCGATGGTCAGAGCAGAAATAATCCTGCAGGATGCGGCTCAGACACATCGGTGTCGGCAACGCGAATAAAAAGAGACGCCAGTTGACAGTTGTGTGGAGCCGTTGACAGAAGGTGACAGTTGGGAAGAGGTTGAGCCGTTGACAGAAGGTGGTAGTTGTGTACGTCGAGCCGTTGACAGAAGGTGGCAGTTGTGTGGAGCCGTTGACAGAAGGTGGCAGTTGTGTGGAGGCTGAGCCGTTGACAGAAGGTGGCAGTTGTTTGGAGGCAGAGCCGTTGACAGAAGGTGGCAGTTNAGATGTGTATAAGAGACAGGTTGTGTACGTGGAGCCGTTGACAGAAGGTGGCAGTTGTGTACGTGGAGCCGTTGACAGAAAGTGGCAGTTGTTTGGAGCCGTTGACAGTGGGTGACAGTTGTGTAGAGCCGTTGACAGCAGGTGACAGTTGTGTGGAGCCGTTGACAGCAGTTGACAGTTGTGTGCTCCGAAGACTGGACGCATGACAAGCAAGAGAATCCGACGTAATATTGGACGTTCTTATTTAATGTATTTATTTTCCCTGTTAGACTCGAGCTACTTCGCAACTTGCGACTTCACATCCGCTGTGATGGATGAGTAGATGTTATTGTTTATAATATATAACATACTATTAAATAGAGAGACAATTTCATAAAATTAACACCGAGTAAACTTTGAGGGCATTAGTTTTCCAAACTTTACAGCAAATGACACAATTATATGTAATCACCGATAATAAAAACCGTTCAAAGAAGTTCCAAATTAGTTTTTGTACGAATATAAGCGAGGAAAATGTATGTTATGTATCGAATTCAACAAAAGCTGTGATAGAATTACACGCCTGATCAGATTATCAAAGCTTATTCATAGGACGCTACCCGAGAGGCCCTGGTATCTCATTGGCTTTGGTGGCAAACCACCAGCGAAGAAAACTCGAACGGAATTGACGAAGAAAGAAAATAATGAACAGCTTTTGGGGAGAATCCATACATTCTTCCACATCACGAATTTGAGGTTTCAGTGAAAAAACTACTGCAATAGAATTCGATTTACCCGAGATCACTACTGAACTGATTTGTGACTTTCAAAATGGATACCGGGTTATATGTATGTAATAATATTAAATCGAGTTTACTTTGAAAATTTTCGTACGAATACTTCTTTGGTCGAGTAATTTATTTAGGAAAACCGTCGACCGTTGCAACCAAAAACGTAAGCAAATTAAATCAAATTAAAGTATTTATCATCAATTAAATCATTTAAATAATTTCAAATAATATATTCCTTTAAAAACATATTAATATTTCATTACATGAGAAAACAATTACCTTCATAACTTGTAACAATATTTGAACAAAGTAATAATTCGCTAACTCATTTCCAGTATGCAAATCAGAAGATAAACTTACCAGCCAATGAAGCCAGGATATAAATCAGAAGACCAAAGTCCCAGCGCTCAGGCTACGAATTTCTGGCCATGTTTCTTAACCGAGCGACGCGTATGTTTTCCTTTGAGCGTGTCAGAAAATTTCCCTTAATTAGGTAAGGTAAGAATTCACGATAACCACAGCGCGGCCTACACTATGTAGGCCTAAACACACAATTCCGCTCGTCTAATGCATCCAAAGTTCAATGACTAAATAGAAGATATCAACTAAACAAACTGGGGGTATCTGCGTATTCTCTGATATGATAAGAAAGCGATAAATATGATGATGAGTACAATCGTTTTAAAAAGAAAGAGAATTTCCCTAAAAAATCAAGCTTCAAAAATTCTTAGGTTAGTTATTAATCATGTGCTGTAAAGTCAAATATGTGGCTGACTGCAGGTTGAAGAGTACCTTTAATTAGCGGCTAACACAATTTCACTACAATGTATAATTTGATGTAATAATAGGTTTATAAAGTATGTATTAAGCCTGATTGACATTTAAAATCAGCTAATGCTGAACTGAAGATATTGATAGTTTGGCGAAACTTAATAATTTCAACCATGGGTCGCAAGTTTTTGCCCAATGAATTATGATTAAAAAATAAATAAACTTCGAGCCGAGAAAATTTCTGCTGACATGCATGCAGCCAACTGCAGATGACGCCATGATTGATGTCATTTAATAAATTTTTGAAATTGAGCATCATAAGTCCAAAGCAACTAAGAAGAGTAATAATTTCAATGTAAAATAGCATTTTTGTTACTAAATAATTTCATGTGAACAAAGGTTAATAATTTATATCGTACCGTTTGAATTCGAGTACAATCTCGATATCATATGCTTATCTAAACGAAGAAGCTTTGATGTAAATCACAAGAAGATTTCTAGAACCGTTCAGATATTTTCTTGATACAAAAATTCTCCTTCCATACCATCATAAAATGTTTTCACGAACTGCTCAATGTCTCTGAGATTTTAAACTTCAGTCTCAAAATCTTCATAGTTATGAGCAAGAATATCGAGATTACGGCTTCAACTTTGAAGCTAATCAAAAACCAATTACAGCCCAGTGTTTCAGAGTCATACGGATGGATGAGCACGTTAAAAGTCTTCAATTAGAGTTGTTGACAGCAAAACCGATCGTCATAAAAACCTAACGCAGTTTCTGAGTCTTACTACACTAGACGGTCGGGAAAAAACCGCGTTCAAAACCGACCGTGTGAGTAGACCTAAAATTCAATAAACATCCAGGGTCGATGAAACAATGGGAGAAAGATTCTCTTCGTAACCTACGAACCACTGCTGCGGAAACCATCTCTGGACAAATAGGATAGAAGTTAAGATAACTATCTCTGGACAAATATCTGAACTTCTATTAAATTAAAAAACAAAGCTCATGATGAAAAAAGCAATCAGGAAGGTAAACAAGAATTTACCCAACAATAAGGCCATTGACGTCAAATTTTTCGGATCTAATGGGAGATAAAAAATTTGGTATGCCTGTATTTGGTGTGCCCACACAATAGATCCGTTGATTTATTGTGTTCGACGTTGTCCGATTGTTTCTGATAGGTAATTCATTATTGGTCCAGAGTTCCCGACCGTGAAGAATGCAGAAAAATGACTGATATAATATGGTACCTGATATAGCACGGCATCTGATATAATGCTGCATCTGATATAATGCTGCATCTGATATAATGCGGCATCTGATATAATGCGGCATCTGATATAATGCAGCATCTGATATAATGCGGCATCTGATATACCTAATGCGGCATCTGATATAATGCAGCATCTGATATAATGCGGCATCTGATATAATGCAGCATCTGATATAATGCAGCATCTGATATAATGCGGCATCTGATATAATGCAAGATCTGATATAATGCAACATCTGATATAATGCAGCATCTGATATAATGCAGCATCTGATATAATGCAACATCTGATATAATGCAGCATCTGATATAATGCGGCATCTGATCATATAATGATCAAATGCACGACGTTCAGTAGTACGAAGAGAGCAGAAAAAAATCATTTTGCACAACGAATTGTTAGTGTTTGCCGATCATAATAAAAAGAAAATATATTTAGTTTAATGTGTAAAAATTACGAAACATTCAAGCTAGAAAAATTAGAAAATTGCTTACATTTGTAATCACCCATGATTTTTTTAATGAAAATATATAATGACATTATTAATAAACTCTTTATCATTACCTACTAAACTCTTTAATAGAGTATTAGTACTCAGATAATATCAAATGCCGTCATTTCGCAAATGACATCATAAGGTATTATCCAATAAACATAAATAAAACGAAGAACCACTCCGTATCTCATTCTGTGCACGTGTGTTTGAACGAAAACATGAATTGTGTTTACCAATATGCATATACGATCTAAACTCTACTAATTTCTGTCAGATCAGATCGAGAAGTAGAGAATATAGGCTCGATATGAACTTTTATAAGGAGACACCAGAAAGAACATCGAACTAAACTTCACATGGCTAATTTCCTAAAAATATTATATAGGGAATACCAACGACAGAGCTATCCGAAATGAAAATTATAATTAAATGTTAATATCGTTTAAATTGAGATCAAACCAATCGTTTCACCAAGAATGAGATCGAGTGCCAGAGCAGCAAACTACAAGATGTCTGACGTTAAACATCAACAAACAATAAAGTCTAATAAACTTTAATTTGATGAACCAAGTTTTATTTTTGCGTTGATTCAACGTCAGATGTTAAACTTAAGTCTTGACCACAAAGGCAGAGTTTCAAGAATAAACTCAGAAAAATAAATTTTCACTTTGTCCAAATAACGACACATCATCCGTTCGTAGCAGACATACTTCGATTTGCCATGCCAAAATGAGTCAGGATGATCTAAACCCGCGCAAAATATTGGACAATTTCCAATGAAAATCGCTATTTTGACAATATCTCAGTCATTTTTTCAGAAATAGTCGGACGAGCCGAACGTGACATGCGTGCGTCTGGGGCGACGCTACGGAACGCGCCTGAAACCCGAAGCAAACTGTGTCGTTCACCAAAAGAATAATAATAATAGCAATAATAATAATAATAACATGGATAAATGCAACAAAAGTTGTACTTACTTTGACGAAGATGAATATTAGTTTCGATGACGGAGCTTTTTGTGGAACCAATTTTTCTGAAATTATTTCCAATTTCTTGTCAGCACAATACATCAACAAAAAGCAACTTTAGTTAGAACAAGAAATTTTATTTTAGTTTTTTAAGCACGAGGCGCAATACAACACGTTTTCAGCGATCTATTTAATACGCCTGCTCTGAAATTAATACTTGAAATAGTATAATTGCACGGATAAGTGAAAAGCTAATTAATGTTTGTTCCAGGTCATTACAATTATGAAGGCGCGATCAGTAATTAGTAATTAAGATATTCTGAGATTTCAGAATATCATATCATTATTGTACACCATATAGATTCAACATAGCATTTCCTGGCAAAGATATAATACAATAGGAACAAATGATCACTAAGCGAAATAATCGATCGAATGGACCGTTGCTATGAATTTGTACTGATAGACTGTAATAACCATTATTAGATTAGTATAAGTGAAAAATTTAAAAAATTTAGAATTAGTGGAAAATTTAGACCAGTACCGGTATGTGATGCAATCTACTAACATTATTTAATTTTTGGCGATCGCACTGATTATTATGGATTATTAAAGTTGGATTATTATGAATGAAAACGTAATAATTTTATGAATCACCGTTTTACTAATTGCGAAGGCTGAAGTGGTGCTAATAATTTCACTTTTATCGAATAAACTTGACCTATGTTATGTAGGGACAATGTTCGAATGCACATGGAGATCGAGCGGGAACTCGAAATCTCAGACAAATATCTTAGGCTCGTAGATAACGACTTAGCACATCAAATCAAATGAAGAATTTTGCGTTTGTGTCATTTGGTGAGAAGTTATATGAAAACCAAGTTTGATTCCTGTCAATGACAGCACAGTTCATCGTACCTAACAGATTCAAATTCCAGCAGACTTTTTATGCGACAATAACGTAGAATCGTGAATATATTTCTGATTTATTTAATTATTCATCAGTCATAAGTGATAAGCTTCAAACTATGTTAAGTATTAATGACCAAATATGTAGACACGAAATTTAAACCATTCAATGTACAATTACCACGTATGAGTGCAACTGTGCAATCCCCAACTGTACGAAACGGTTCAGTTCTGAATTTTACGGTTCGTTACCGTGCGTAAACGGTAACACTGTCGTTTGGTTACGACCGTTAGGCAACAGTAAAGCATACTGTATATCAGACGTCTGGGAACTAGATTTTATTATCTCTTAACTTGAGATGACGAAATTGTGTTAAAAAATAACACCTTCAACAAGCTCGAATAGAGCCGCCAATCAGTCACTGAGATCACTGGTCAGCGGCGCACAACCTTACACACCAACAGTCGCAGAGACACTGACTGGACTGAGCGGTGAGTCGGTGACTCGGTGAGCGTTCGGCAGGCAGCGCTAACAGAAGTAATTCCCACACCCTGCTCCTTATATTGACAACAATTATTGATGTTCTACTATAATAATATTAATAAATATATGAACCCATACTGTTGCTTAATTTATGTTGCCTCTGATTGTGAGTAAAAATCACCCGAAAGTTACTAGAGACATAAATGAGTAGATGTTAGAAAAATATACAGCTCTACATTCGTCTCATATTCCTCGTCCAGCGCTTGCAGCTGTTCATTTCGTACCCCCTCCCCTCCATTCCAGAAGTCAGCTCCCCCCCTTTCACCCCCACTGCTGACTCATGCCCGCCTCCCTCCCAGCAGAAGTTAACATCATCTCGATCATTTTTTTAACGCAAAATTAGGCATTTTTCATGATGATATTAGAGGCTCTATCAATTGCAGTATTATTTTCCCAGATAAAATAGACCATTTTCTGGTTTATAAAATTTGATACTCTAAAACAACTATGTCATCCAAATTTCCAACGTTTGCTTTCGTTCCTAAAACAATACTCAATGCTTATTTTTTTGCTATATCCCACAAAATGGGAAAATAACTTACACAAAATTTTATTTCATTTTCCTCCAATGATTTTCTTAAAAAATATATACATAATGAAATAGCCATTACATTTTATGTAATTTATATACGACTGCGTAATTTCAGCTTACATTTAACGATTAAAAACCACCTATCAGACCTCGCTAATAATACAAAGAAAAACACTGTTTGTCAACTCAGTTAAATAGGCAGAAGTTTTTCAAGTTCAAATCGTATTAAAGCGATGATTAGGCCCTATAGAGGTAACTATTGACAAGGCTTATAATAGCGACCATTTGTCCACATGGACTCAGTCACTGACTGTTGATGAATTGGCTGCAGCAGTTCCCCCTCTTCTTCCAGCTATGGCAGCTCGCGCTTCTGTGACCCTATTCATGCCATTCATTATTGCCCTCTTTGTTGCATTCACACTCTATTCATGGCCTTATTCATTATGGGGACACGCACCATTCATGCCACTCACTACCCTTCTCCATGCGCGCCACTTTCGAGCGTGGACGCGCGCATAACGAGCGTTATTTTTGGAAAAAAATTTTCAATGAACAAGTATGGACAAAAATAACCGCGGGCTGTGTAATTGTAAGTCATTTGTAATTTAAATAATAAATAATGGCAATGATAGATCGTAAATAAAAATTATGTGAACGGAAGTTTTCTTGATTCATTCCGACCCTCCTTGATTGTGTTCATCTAATTAGAGTAAAATAAAATTAATTAGAGTAAAATAATGCCAAAAATCGTGATGAACGGATTTCAACAACGACGAGAAGTATTTTTTGTAACTTAAATTTCATTTAATCACTGAAAATGCAAACACTGAAAACTTCAAACTTTTTTGCAGGGCTGTTAGGTCCGCGGAAGTACTTTACCGAAGCGTTCGATATCGACCCTTCGATGTACCACTTTATTCGAGTGGTCAGTGTGCAGGGGCTAGGAAACGTCGCTTCCACTTTTTACAATAAATAACTTAATTTTTGTACATTTTTAGGTCTGTCTAGAATTTCAAATTCTATAAAAAGTTCTACCGGCTGGAAATTTTAAGGAACTCTAAGAACCGTTTCTTCATATCAATTGCACTGAATATAAGCAATAATTAACACTACAGTAAAGTGAGTATTATCAACGATATATTTGATAATTGTTGAAACCCTTTTCCAAAACCACAAAATAACTTTGATAATTCAAGATATGCTTTCTGTACAAATACCGTTTTCTAAAATATATTTCTTCGACTGGGACCGTAACGTGTACTCTTCGATGAACACTCAAAGTAAAGCTCTATAACGATCCCAAATTTTCACACTTACCATATAACTAAAGAACATTTAGCTGGTTTGGACACGTTTGGACGAGGTTCTAAAATCTAAACATACAAAAGGTTATATCTCGGTCTAAAAGATGCTCACATGACTCCAAGCTGATAACGAGCTCACTTTTGGCCCGACAAATGTCAAAACATGAACGCATTGACGCCGATTACGAGGGTGTTCACTTTCTGGTCGATAAAATTTGTGACATAGAGCATGGATTTTCGGTACATTATTTTGAAATTTGAATATTTCGACGCCGCCACATTCATCATACTTATCAGTGTCAATAGTAACCGACTCAAATTTCATAAGCTAATAGTAAATACAGAGAGAGGCAACGGATCTTTGTAGGTCTAGTTTAATTCCACACTCTACTGTCCATAGCAAACTATAAGACTTGAGACTTGACTGTACCGCATTAGAGAAGTCGGTGTGTTCCATATGGCCGGTTAGGAAAGGACTTAGGGATACGACTGTACCGACGCGTGGAAAGTCGGTGTGTTCCATATGGCTGGCTAGCAAAAGAGTTTAGACGTGTTTAATCCTGAACCCTTGTGTAAAAAATGGAGTAAAGCTCGACAACTGAAACTGATACGATTAATCCGATCAGCCTTAGTGGGAAGTCACTTTAGTTAGTTTATGGCTTATATTTAGCAAATTAGTGCTCGATGAGCATTTCTTTTTGTTTTGCAATTCAGAGGAGAATATTTATTTTTCTTCTGTCTCTAATTATGTCATGATTCCCTGTAAATTGTGATTTGGTCATAGAAAATCCAACTTTTCTTACGCCTACGAAACATTCATGACGATAAAATTGCAAAGGTATGGCATTTTCCTCTGAACTCGTTCGTCGAAATTGTTTTGAAATTTGAAAATATCACAGTATATGGCCTCCAACTTCGTGCTAATTGTGTGTTTTAAGAGATCCTAATAATGCAGCTCTAAACAATTGATTGAACATTTGAACTCTAGGAAACTCCATTAAAACTAATGCTGTTTTAATCAACAGTAAATACTGTGTGATGAATGGATTCCTGCCTGATGGCCAGTATTTAACTGGACGACATATAGGCGAGCCAGTGAGAAAACAACCAGGCCCATACTTTCAAAAAAAGTTAAGAGATCGTAAGTTCATCAGCCAATCATTGACGGCCTTTCGAGCAAAATCCACCAATCATAGACATCAAAATAGAGCATAAGTACTTACGTTCCTTGAGCGAGTTTTGAAAGTATGGCCCCAGGCTCGTATCTATACGCTCTTCCTTCACAGTAATCGCCAGCGATCACTCGCATCGACAGGCGTAGATTTAGGAGATGTATTTTTGTGCTTCTTTAGCGCATCAATCGATGTGAGCGGAGAGCAACTGTTCGTTTAATGAATACGAGTCATCAGTCATTTTTTTAGAGATGTGCAGGGCGAAGGTCCCTTGTGACTCTAATGAAAAGGGGTGACTCCTTTAGTTGCCTGTTCAATGACAAGCGACTATGTGGGCTAGAATATTCGTTGCCTTTGTTGTTGGAGTCGCATTCGATCACAAGCCGTCAAGGGTGGCGAGTTTTTCAGTCTCGTGTACCGATATAAATTCCGATAAGACTTCACTATGCATCAAATTCATTTTTTGAAATGAATTTTTAAAGAAACTTAGGGATGTCAGCATGTGAGTTGAAAATTAAGTCATTAGAATTCCATAGAAATTCAAAAGAGCACGTACTGAGTAAATGTAGAAAATGTAAATTCGCTTTTGTTTTTCTGTGCAAATTCCAGAGAAACAACGAATGACGCTTGTGTATGGAATCTAAACACGAACATCCAGAACAGAAGTCAGGCTTTCAGCTCTCGAGCGTATTGGAATCAGACAGTTGCTAAGGAATATTTCACATAAAAATCTTTGGAAAACAATTTACAGAACAGGCGTTAATGAATAATTTACGGAACCAGATTTGATGAATAATTTACGGAACCGGAGTTGATGAACAGGCGTTTGGAAACAGTCTAAGAAATGGTATTGGAGAAATAGTTTACGATCTTACGTTGAGAAATAGGTTACAGATTCGGTGTTGAGAAATAGATTACAGAAAAAAATGGGGCTGTAGTGTTTCAATCAAAATTTTTTGATATTATAAATATATAAATAAATGGCATTTGTGAGTTATTTGTTT